TCCTCCTCCTCCTCTCCTCCTCCTACTCCTCCTCCTCCTCCTCCTCCTCCCTCCTACTCTCCTCCTCCTCCTCCTCCTCCTCCTCCTCCTCCTCCTCCTCCTCCTCTTCCTCATTCTCCTCCTCCTCCTCCTGCTCCTCCTTCTCGACGAGGAAGAGCCCGAGGAAGAGCAGCAAATGCAGCAGCAGAAGAAGGAAGAGGTAGCAGGTGGGGAAAGAAGGAGGAGGCTGGATGAGCGAGCGGGGAGGGCGGAGCATTCGGATTCGGGTTCAACTCGGTCAGGGAATGCACCCTCACTCCAATCGGCGGACTTACCTGGAGCAGACAGTGTGAGGTAGGGACTTATCCAAAATCACCGCCTGGGGACTCGATCTTAGGGGATGCCGGCAGGCGGTTGACATGGATGCATTTAACCCTCCCAAGGCCCGAATATGTCCAGATCCACCGCCTGCCCCGGTGCCCGAAGGTTGATCTCCAAGCAACGGTCATGGGGGAACGAAGAGGTACCGATCCCGCTGCTCCCCACACCTCTCCCGGGGTGCGTTCTGACCAGAACTTCGAAGAGAATCCAGCCGTGGCGACGAGGGATCTCCAGGACGAGGGGAACAGCGGTATCGGTATCCATTCCTCCTCTGAGTACGCATACGTTCCCGCCTCGTAGACAAGACGGGGAGAACAAGAGAGGGGGGAGGAGAGCCAGAAGCCACCGAGGCTCGGCGCGGGAGGCCACGCGGGGCGGCTGTTCTCCTCGTCGTCGTCGTCCTTCGCCTCCTTGTCCTCTCCCTCCTTCCCCCCGTCTCCCTCCTCCTCCCCTCTCCACTCTCCTCCCTACTCCCGTCTCTCCCCTCTCCTCCCCCTCTCCAACCTCTCCCGTCGCCGTCGGGCGCCCCAACCACGAGCATGGGAAGCTTCACACATCATCCGTCGGCTCTCGGAAGCTCTCGGCGGCTTCTGGAGCACCTCCTCTAATGAATTACTGCTTCGGTAGGTTTTCGGAGGCTCCTGGGGGAGGAGGGTGAGTTTTGACAGGCAGGATGAGGATTTTCACATCAACGTCACCTGAACAATGGGCGAGGCTGGCCAATGACAGTCCAGGGGTTTCTGGTCGTTCTCTCGCCACTGGTGTGATGGAAGAAGAGATGGAGGAGAATCCCCGAACAAAGCAAAAACTGGCGGTCGCGATTGTTTCATTACCCCTGGGTCTGGCGCCAGATTTCCGGAAGGCTCCGAAGCTAGCAGGAGGCCGCAGGGGCGTCCAGGATCCCCCAGAAGACCAAGAACACTCATGGCTACCAGAGGAAACCTCAAACAGCTCGATATTGCACGTTTGATGTAAAATATATGCGGTGCAAACTACTACGCGATGCAATTCATCATGAATTGTCAACTCCTCGACTGCTCGCACAAGCCTCCCACCCTCCCACCCGCAACTTGTTTCGCAAAACCCATGCGCCATGCCACCACGATCGCAAGGACTGCTTGGCAGTGGTTGGCGCATCTCTGCGGTCGCGCTGACGCGTACACCCTCGCGCGCAAACCGTGCGGCCACAATGGCGCTTACCGATGGGAGCTGCCCAGCGCGTCTCAAAGGCTGCGCTGGCGCGCGGGCAGTGCAGGTCGGTGACCCGACGATGATGGTAGAAGCCATGGTGGTGGCGATGATGACGATGACGACGGGCCAATGACGTCAATGCTGGTGACGACGATGACGACGACGATGATGATGCCGCGGTTCCTGCTGCTGCTGATGATGTTGATGATGATGGTGATGAAGATGGTGATGGTGATGGTGATGATGGCGATGATGATGATGATGATGATGATGATAATGATGATGATGGCGATGATGATGATGATGATGATGCTGATGATGATGATGATGTCCACGTCTGTCTGTGATGAGGCTGCTTGACTGCTGATGTCCGAAATAACGACTACTGACGATGACGATAATGGCGATGATGCGACGGCGTTGATGAAGATGATTGTGGGCACTGCGCGTGCAGAAAGCACAGAAAACTGGCAGACCTGGGCTTGACAACATGTGGTTCTTCCAAGTATTTGGATAGCCATATCTTGGAACGCGTCGAAATTATGGTGATTGGAAGGAATTCGACCTGCGCGCGTGGCGGTGCGCACGTGTGGCCCGTGTGGTATGATTGTGTTTGCATGTGATACGGGATCGCGCACTGGACGCATGCAAAATCAACGCAGATGCAACGCGTGGCGAAGTGAGATTGAAGGTTCCGGACGAGGTTATTGAAACCATAGTATGTCCTTGTGGTTCCAACAAATGCGCGCGGGCAAAACATCTGCAATCATATTGATGAACAGCCAACAGGTATCTGATGTTGTACGGTCAAATACTTGCAGCGCCAACATGTTTGGTTTCGACATGCGCGCGCTGGCGCGCGTGGACGCAGTGGAACTTGCTGCGTGCAAGGAATTCATGCGACCTCGTACTTCGATATGGAAAACGTGAGCGTGAATCGTATTGATTGATCAGGGGTGAAGGGGGGCGATAACCATTCGCGTGGGATGGTGTCATTGCATGTGGAAAATGAGCGGCGAAGCAGACTCAGATGTACATGCCATTATCCCAGGGGGGGCGGGCTAACCCGGGGGTGGTGCTGGTGGAATATATATATATATATATATATATATATATATTCCCTTTGGAAGGAAAGCCATGTGACCCAATCCAGTCTTTTGCCTGGATATGCACAATCCCTGCAATATGTTCCGTTGATATCTCATGGTCAGTGGGCTTCGCCGATGACATGGGGAAGAAAGGATAATGCCGTCAAACATACATTAGAATAACACTGAAAGGAAGAGGCCGGCCCACCGGCCGACGCACGCGCGCGCCGCAGGCTCGCTCCCTTTCCGTTTCCCTAGAGACAAAGTGTAGCTGCAGGAGAGAAGCAGTCAGTGCAGCAGACAGTGCATGCAAGGTTAAGGAGCAGGATGGGCAAGAGGATGGTGGTGCGGAAGGAGTGCATTGATTCCCCCCGCGGCGGGGTCCGTAGAGTCGCCCCGACCCCCAACCCACCTGGCCTGTACATATGCACAGCTAATGGAGCGAACCTCATAAGCATTTCACCGCTCAACGGTGGTTGCCAGGGGGCGGAAGACCGAAGTAACCCAACGTACCCCGCCTGAGCTAATGTTTCCCAGCTCAGGCCTCAGTGCCCGCGCGCACCTGGTGCGCCCACTTCATGATTAACTGTGGACCGGCACCGACGGAATCGCACTGGTCCTTTTGTATTGCATCACCTCTGCCATTCATTTCTCCATTCTCGAGAATCATCCCGCGTGTCTCTGTTGCTCCAGTTCCGCTGGTACTGATCTCTTGAATAATTGTCATAGTATCTTCTCTTCTGCTCGAGCTCCAGCTGTTTGGCTGACTCTTGCCCCGGCCCCTCCCAAGCGGCCTCGCCTTCGGCGTTGGCGGCGGCGGGGGCTCTGGCAAGGTGCTCGGCATCCCAGAATCACGTTTGAACTTGTCATTGTAGTCGTTCAAACTAAACCAATGCTAGGTTTTGGTTTGACCAGCGACATTATGGTGACGAGGTACATGTACGTAGTACCCTTGAACTTCTCCATTCCCATTCTTGTCCGCATGGTCGATCGTCGCGTCGCGGCCGCCGCCCGTGGCCGGCCAGGGGCCGCCGCCGTCGCTCGCGCGGCCGCCGGCCTCTACAATGGACTCATCTGCCCAAGACAGGACCCAAACCCAGCCAGAATCGGTGCTCGACGCGGCTGGGCTGGCGGGCACGGGGGCGCAGGGGGCGGTCCTATGGGATTGCCTCCCCCCCCGATGCCTCGGTCTCGATGCTGGGCGAGAATGCCGCTGAGATCGCAGCCCCGAAGCGGCGGCGCTGCTCGGGCTGTCCTCTTCAGCTATCATGATTGCAGCGTCTGCTGGAGACCCAGCTGGGATCGTCTCTGTGAGAGGGTCGGCTGGGCCGCTCTCCTCCTCCTTCTTCTTCTTCCTCAGGCAATTTATTGTTCCAATGGCTTTGTCTGTGCTGAGGAATCCAAAACGGCTGTTGGCTAGACAGATCTTGACACTAAAATGAGGTTCCGTAGACGTATGCATGAGAACAATAGCTTCTTGGATACTTGAGCAATTATGTCTGACGGTCTCTGATACTTCATTCCCCAATCCTTTGGTCCCTTCATGAAGTGGGTCGAATGATTCAATAGTGGATCTGATTCGACAACCCAAAGCATGAGCATCGCGCATAGCTTCAAGAGCTGCATTCGTATAGTTTGCGTCGAGCTGTACTTCGCATCCCAGAAATGCAACAGTGATTCCCGCATACATGAACAATAATGTTATTTCTCGCGCAGCGAAGAGCGTCCACCCCCGTATCCCGTGAGTGGGGATTCGGTCAATTGGATGGTTCTATATTTTATTCACGAGCTCGGACAACTCAAGCGGCACATCATGAATAACATCAGTGTCTAATGGCATCGTAGTCGTGGATGTCGATAAATTTTTCAAGCATGAATTCTGTCACAGCTTTGATAATTCCTGGCCTGTAATATACGTCAACATTGTGCTTTTACTAGACATGCAGACAGAACACAGAAAACAAATCGAACCAAAAGGGCAGCGCTCGCATCGGGATAATCAGCCGATGACGCTGGGCAACGCGTTGATTGCACTCCATCCGACAACGCAGCTTTCTCTTCACGGGCTGATATCGCTTCATCAGTGCGGCTGGGCCGATGATGGAGTTCAGCAAAAACCCGGAAGTCTATATCTCCAACTTTGTGTTCGATGCGGAAACTCGGTTGGCTTCGTTCAAGTTATCCGTTAACACTTGAACCGATGGAATGATTCCTTTTCCGCCATT